AAAAAAAAAAAAAAAAAAAAAAAAAAAAAAAAAAAAAAAGAGAACTTCTCCTTTTCTATTTGATTCTCTACATGGAGTCCTCATTTTACAAAAAAAAAAGGCTTTTGGTATATATATATACTTTTTAAATTTAAAAATTAAGGTCAGGAAGAAAGTGTGCGTGCCCCAAAATATCTGGGTTCTGTCACTGGGTCTGTCATTATCTTCAAAATGGAAAAAATATAAGATATATGAAAAGAAATCTTCATTGGTACTTGAGTAGCTAGGCCAGAATATTTCATACATTTCTAAGTAGAAGAAACACAAATCAGGAAAAAGTATATACTACACTTTTACAAAAAAGGAGAAACTTCTCATATTTGGACAGAGACAGGTTGCATTAGTTGGGAATATTCGTTAGTTTATTCCAACTGATTCCATGCCCTCCAGGTGGCAGCTGTTCTACTAGCAGTTCAGTTGCCCTCCTGGACCTTATTTCTAGGAAATGGATTTCGTATCTATTTCGAGGCCAGGAAGTGACAGGATCCTCTCTACTGCCATGAGAGGCCCACCAGAGACCCCAGGTCCCCCTAAAGGGCTGGTGCCTGGGTAGGGCTTTGTGGTCTTGGCCTCTGGGGGTCAGAATTTCTCACGACCAGGCCCACTCCAGACTGACTTAATTAGGTTTCCTAGGGGTCCAGTCTAGGCATGGGTATTTTTCTTAATGCCCAGATGATTCAACTGTTTTACCAGGGTAGGGAAACTACTGAGTTATAGAAAAAATGAAATAAGAAGTAAAAGAAACTAGGGGGAGAAAAGAGGGTTGGGGTGTGGGGGGGGACTGAAAAGATGAAACAGAGATCCAGGTAAAAAGAAGAGGAAAAAAAAAACGGGACCAAAAAAAATGGCACTTTGGAGACATAGTATACTATTTCATCTCAAAACAGCAATTTTAGACATTTTTTTGCAAGGAAAAAATACATTCTTTTCAATGTAACCTATGGATACATGGCTTATTTAAAATGCTGAGTTGTCAGTGGAAACTGAATGATGACCTATTTTCCCCATATCCACCCTCCCTCCCTCCCATCCCATCACCAAACACACAAACACTGGACTGGAAATGACACTGCTCATCACAGGCAGGACGGCAGGAGACGCTGCAGGGGGCTGAGAACCCTTGCAGCCAAAACCTCATGTGGGGTTGTGGGGTGTCCAGCTCCTGGACCTGGCTTCCTCCTCCTCGGGGACATCCCACTGGCCTCCCTGCTTAACCCTCAACCCGGCCTGCGGCCCTGGTACCTGATGTCTCTGGGCAGGTCCCGTGCATGAGGCCAAACATGTTCCCGCAGGCCTTGCTCACGGCTGCCATCTTGGCCAGGACTGGGAGGTTGTGAATCACAAAGGACACCTCATTCCTCTGCTGCTTGGCCAGGTTCTGTGCGTGGCCCAAGATCCCGAAGCCCGTGATGTCGGTGGCCGCGTGGGCGTTGAACGTGTGCATGAGTCCCGCCGCTGCCAGAGGACAGAGGAGCCTTTATCATCTGGTGTCGTGAATGGAGACCCCGAGAAAACACCCTTCCTCAACTCAAAATCTTACATATGCTTTGATCTCAAACTCCTAATTGGTCGGCAACAGCATACGATGGAAGTGAAATCAACAAAACCTGGAGTGAAATTCTGAAAGTTGGTTTCCTAGTTCAGTTTGAACCACTCAGAACAGCAGCTTCAACCAACCGTAAATTCCCAGTAAACTAAAATATCTGTAGAGAGGAAATGCTATCTCAACAAAAGGTAAACCTGTCTAAACTCTCCTAAAATCAAAGAACAAGATCTTTTAAAACTGTCTGACCTAAATTCAAGGTACTTTCCTGATGTCTAAAAGGTTAATCTCTTTTTTATTTTTTAATTAAAAACAATAAAACACTTTATTTTTTGGAGTAGTCTTAGGGTTAGAGAAAATTGAGCAGAAGTGCAGGAAGTTGCCGTACGGTGCCCCCCAACCCCATTTCTCCTGCATTAACACCCAGCATCAGCGTGGTGCTGTGATGAATCGGTATCGATAAGTCATCACTAACTCCAGTTCAGTTTATACTGGGGTTCACTCTTGATGTTGTACAGTCTACGGGTGTCGGAAAATGTATGATCACGTGTATCCATCGTTAAGAGTATCACACAGAGTACTTTCACTTCCCTAGAAATTCCGTGTTCCACCTTTTCACCCATTCCTCCAACCCCTGGAAACCACGGATCTTTTTATTGTCTCCACTGTTTTGCCTTTTCCAGAATGTCAGAGAGTTGGAATCACTATATTTGGTCTTTTCGGATTGATTTCTTTCACTTAGTAATGTGTACTTTAGGTCTCTCCGTATCTTCTCATGGCTTGATAGCTCACTTCTTTTTAGCACTGAACAATACCACTGTCTGGAGGGACCAGTTTATTTATCTGTTCACCACCTACTGAAGGACCTGTTGGTTGCTTCCAGGTTTTGGCAATTATAAATAAAACTGCAACAGACATCCATGTGCAGGTTTTTGGGTGGACAGAAGTTTTCAATTCATTTGGGTAAATACAAGGAGCACAATTGCCAGATCATATTAGTAGATTTAGTTTTGTAAGAAACTGCCAACCTCTCTTCCAAAGTGGCTGTACCATTCTGCATTCCCACCAGCAATCAATGAGTTGTTATTGTTCCACATACTCACCAGCATTTGGTGTTCTGGATTTTAGCCATTCTAGTAGACATGGGGTAGTATCTTGTTTTAATTTGTAATTCCCTAGTGACATATGATGTGGAGCATCTTTTCATATGATTATTTGCCATCTGTATACCTTCTTTGGTGAGATGTCTGTTCAGATCTTTTGCCCGTTTTTTAATTGGATTTTCTTATTGTTGGGTCTTGAGAGTTCGTTGTATATTCTGGATTATCAGTCCTTCATCAGACGTGTTTTGTGAAGACTCAGATTTTCTCCTAGTCTGTGGCTTGTCTTTTCATCCTCTCTCTCTTTCACCGAGAAGTTTTTTTATATTAATGAAGTCCAACTTGTCAATTTTTTCTTCTAGGGATAGTGCTTCTGGTGTTATCTCAGTAGTCATCACCAAATTCAAGGTCACCTAAATTTTCTTCTAAGTTATCTTCTAGGAGTTTAACAGTCTTGCATTTTACATTTAGGTCTACAATCCATTTTGAGTTAATTTTTATGAAGGGTTTAAGACCTGTGTCTAGATTCATTTTTTTGCCTGTGGATGTGCAGTTTTTCCAGCACCATTTGTTGAAAAGATTATCCTTTCTCCATTAAATTACCTTTGCTCCTTTGTCAGAGAGCAGTTCAACTACACTTATGCGGGCCTACCTCTGGGCTCTCTATCCTGTCCCACCGATCGATCTGTCTCTTTTTTCACTAACACCACACTGTCTTGATGTCTGCAGCTTTATATGAGGTCTTGAAGTTGGGAAGTGTCAGTCCTCCAACCTGCTCTTCTTCAGCACTGTGCTGGCTGTTCTGGGTCCACTGCTTCTCCATATAAACTTCTGAATGAGTTTGTTGATACTCACAAAATGACTTGCTAGAATTTTAGTTGGGATTGCATTACTCCTATAGTTGGGAAGAACTGACACCTTGATACTGTTGAGTCCTCCTATCCATGTGCGTGGAATACCTCCATTTATTTACGTCTTTAATTTTTTTCACCAGTTTTGTAATTTTGATCATATAGAGCTTGTACGTATTTATTTTAGAGTCGCACGGAAGTATTTCATTTTAGGGGGGAAAGGCTAATTTTGGAACGAAATATGCCCTGTGTTTACAGAAGTACTCTGGGGTGAATGCCTTTTTGGGGTACATTTCCTCTCTTCAGACCAAGATCTCTTTTACTTGGGTGCAATCTCAACGACACATGCAGAGAGGAGAATCGACCCTTCTAGTCCATGCTGCTAGATAAGCAACTAGGACGGCCCATCCTATTAACACACCCGCACCTGGTGCAGTGGGGCAGCTGATGACATTTCACAAAGCCAAGATCTGCACTTCAGCTCTTCCCAAGCTTTGAGGACCATAGCAGACAAGAGGACCCACTGAATCCTACAGTCAATAAGAGGGATTCAATTTTTGAGGCACTGATTACCACTTCTTCCCCGTATGGGGAATTACTGTTGCTAATTTTTACTACGGAAATTTCAACGAAACACAAAGTAGAGAGAGTAGCCGCCCACAACGAACTCCCACGTACCCAACAATGCCCAGCTTCAACCATCACCACCTTTCTTCTGGGGCCTCATCTACTCCTGCCCACTTGTTGGGGGATGTGGAGGGTCCGGGGCGTGGGAAACTTTAAAGCCAACCCCGATCATATCACTTCGCCTATAAATACAATATTTCCGTGTGTGCCTCTAAAAGATAAAAAAACTTTTAACAGCCACAGTATCATTATCACACCAACAAAATTAATACTACATTTGATTGTTCTCTCTTAAACTTCTTAATTTTTAACAGTTTCCCCTCCTCTCCCCCCCCACGTCATTTACTTGTGGAAACTGAGCCATTATTTTCTGTAGCATCTCCTGCATTATAGATGTGGTGGATCTCCCCTGATGCTGACATGTTCTATCATCTTCCTGACTTCCTGTACTGGTGTTCAGGACCAAGGCTCCAAGAGACTCAGGTTCATTTTTTGCTGGCAAGAATACATCATGGGGGTGGGGAATATCTCAACGAGAACCTTTCACCAAAAGGTTTTAGCAGCCACTGATGTTTGCTGTTGAGGTTCATTAAATCAAGGGAGCAGCAAAAATGGCAACTTCGTAATTCCATCATTTTTCCTGTGTTTATTAGATGTGACGTCTATAAAGAAATTTTTAGAAAATATGGTTTCCCTGAAATACACTCCATATAAAACAGGTAAAATAAGGGGTTGATTTCTTTTATTTCAGAACAAGTTGGTGCCCTAGCAACTTCCAAAGGTGACCAGAAAAGTTTTTTTTTTTTTTTTTTAACATCTTTATTGGGGTATAATTGCTTTACAATGGTGTGTTAGTTTCTGCTTTATAACAGAGTGAGTCAGTTATACATATATATATGTTCCCATATCTCTTCCCTCTTTGTCTCCCTCCCTCCCACCCTCCCTATCCCACCCCTCCAGACAGCCACAAAGAACGGAGACGGTTATATGACACTTAAGAGCATCAGTAAGAGCACTTTGAACAACCAAAAGGAGTTGTCCAATTAAAATATTATCACTAAAATATATATATATTGAACAGAATAGGTTATTGTTGTTTTAATGCCTGCTGACCTGAATAGGAGAGAGCCTTTATTATTTTTCCTGCTTTGGCCTATAAAGCTATTAACTGGGGTTTTCCTCTTAGCAGTTAACAATAGCAAAGTGAAGACGGCATCTAAGCTGTGTTCAGCCCTGACTCTTTCTGGTCTTGTGGAAGTAAAAGAGGTATGTTTGTAGACGACCTTCTTTGCTGGGAATTTAAGCCTTGGGTGACTAAACCCAGTATCTCTTTTGTCAGACGATACAGAGAGAATCTGGGAGAAATAACAACCCTGAAGGTGAGGTGATCAGTGTCACTCAACTAGGAAACAAGTTGAGAAGGGCTCTGCATGGGAGAAACCAGATGCCTCGAAGGACGAAACCTCTGAAATCAATCTCCTCTGAAGAGACTCAGCTTGGGCCCATGTGGGTTGGGACATATTTTGGTCTCAGTACTAGTGGTGACCACTGAGGCATCTCTTAGTGGACACGAATCTTAGGCCTAAGTGAAGGGCAGTTGCCTGTATTTTCCTCAGCTTTTGGGTGGGAGGCTAGAATAGGTTGGAGGGGGAAATCCTTTTCTGACAATTCATTAGAAATATTAACATTAAATAGAGGTATTTATGGTTCTCCATTCTTCTCCAATGCTGAAATTTTCTTGTGTGAGAAGTGTTATACCACAATAGCTGTTATACCATTGATCTGTACATGACCTAGGGCCTCAGTTTCTTCACACCTACCCTTTCTTATTTTTCTCTTTAGTTAAAGTTCTTCCATCTTTTATTCCAAAATATGGGATGTTCATAAAAATTCAGTTAAGACTGAAGAATATAAAGTGACATCTCAGGCCTTGCTTACACTTTCCTCCCCAGCGGGAGCCACCAATACATTTTTTGGTGTGGCTGTTCGGACTTCTTTTTATGTATTTACAAGTGTGTTTTGTGTGTGTGTATACACATTTTTTAATGTAAATAAGGTCGTATGTATACAGTGTTCAGTCACTAGCTCTTTCCCCCACCTTTAGCTGTCTTTGACATTATCCATCTTAGTGTATTGACCCACTTTCTTACTAATTATGGAACGGCGTTCAGTGCTCTAGATGGACTGTGGTTTATGTAGCGGTTCCATAATTGTCGGACATAGAGGTAGCACCCCCAGCTTCTTCCCGACCTTTCCTGTCTGCTGCTTCTTCCCAAGGAACATAGAAAGCATTTCCCTCCCCCCGTGGTTCTCTTTCTCTACTGCGTATTTCAT